CTTTTTTTTTACCATGCAGTCAACATTACAATGACTATTAAATACTAATTTTTACTATTATACTATTATACAAATACTATTTTTTAAAACTCTAAGAATAAAAACGATTAAAATAAAAATGTAAATATATTTTATTTTAAAAACATTTTTGAGTAAATATCCATAAATTAAGTTGTTTTTTTATTTAAGAAATTGACCAAAATTCTACATTTTGGATATTGAATTCTACATTTTAAAACTAGTTTAACTAATAGTTTAACTAAACATTTTAAAAAATGTTAGTTTTAAAAACCAGTTTTCCAATTACATTAATATAAATATCAATTTAAAAAATGTCAAAACTATGGCATTATATGATTTTATCATTGTTATACAGTTTGCAATAAGGTGGAACAGGCCAAAATCACCTATTTAAGGTGTGATACAGACATTTGATATCTTTGAATATTATAGAAATTATTATAGAAAACTAAAACTGAAACTAAAATTAAATTCATTTGATCAAAATTTTAAATCAGAACAACATTTTCCTTACTTTAAATAAAATAAACATCAACTGAAATACAATTTAAAATTATTTTATATTTCATAGTTGCAAAAACATTTCTCATTTTAACTTAATGTACTAAAATAACAAAATGATAAATATTCATAAAAAATTATATACAGTAGACATAAAAAATGCAAAAACCTCAACTAAAATTTAAATGAAATTGAAGTATAAAAATAAAAACTGATTCAAAATATAATCTTAATGATACTAAAATAAGACTATTTAAAACTAGCTTCTTTTTATGCTAGGCTTTTTTTTTCATGCTTTCGTGTAGGAAAGAAAGGTCAAGGGGCACCATATTTGTCTTTGGTATATGATTTTAGTATTGTCTTTCTTAGAGTGTTTTTAGTATATGTTTCCAGCTTGCTCTTTTATGAGATTTTGTTTCTTCTCACCCCACAGCAGGATGGACTTTCCTTAAATGACAAGTGTTATGACATCTTTAATCCCTTGTGGTTGCCATGGAAACTCAAAAGTCCCGGGACATTCCACATGCACACACACACATTCACACAAACATTATGGCAGCATGATGGGCCTATATAAACTCACATACTGATACATACAATAGATATGGATATAGATGGATATGGAAATGTAAAACATGCAGGAATGGCATATATATATATATATATATATATATATATATATATACAGTCCATCAGAGTTCTGTCCCATCCATGCACAGTTTGCATATCACGCTCACTACATCAGTTCTTTCATTCTGTGCATGTCCACTTAACTGCAGTCAGCTATTAATCTTCAAAACAGGTGTCACTCAAACTGTGTGTGTGTGTGTGTGTGTTTTAGGGTTGTGCAAACAATACATTTTAAATTTGAAAGATTTAAATTCCAATACAGCTCCAGAATTTCAATTGAATGATGAAATTCCTGATGTTCAGCAGGAAGCAGAATTTTACTTTGAATGTGAATTTAAGGAAGTAGAATGAAAGTCAAAACTACACTAATTTTATTAGACATAAATGTGTATGAGGTATTTCGTTATAAGTTTTGCCTAGGCCTAATTAAAGTAATTATGCATATTAATTCTTATTTTGAAGACTTTGGGGTAAATTAACAGTGTGCTTTGTGGGAAATGAAATGTCGTTGCACTAAAAAAACTTGTATTAAAAATGGTAAATGTAAAATAATGATTGAATAAAATGATGATTAAATATTTAAATATTAAATTATTATATTAGATATTTTTATTAAATATTTTAATATTTTAAATGTAAATATAAATTGTAAATGTAAATATAATATTAAAATGTTATATTTAATATTTGTTTTTAATATTTTATAAATTTGTAATAAATATTAATATTAAACATTATATTAAATATTCTTATTTGTAATACATATATAATTTTTTTGTGCTAATTTTAATGCTAATTTACCCCAAAGTCTTCAAAATAAGAATACATTTATTTATTTATTTCACCAAAAAACAAACAAACTTGTGACTAATTAATTTCCTCTGCTGTTTGACCGTTTAATTTCTTTACATTGTAGTTAAGTCACTTCCTCTTCCTGTCATTCCATTTCAAATTCCTGTGGGGTGTGTCCAAGTCAAACGTAATGAATGAGTTGCTCATGAAGTTGGGGTTTGCTTTAGGGGTTTGGGGTTTGTTCAAGTATATGAGCAATAGACAGCAATGTTTACTTAGCGAGTGCCACTCCATATATTAATATATTAAAGGCTATATATAGAAGTGCAGAAGTCAGCACTAAAGCATAATATTCCTTTAATGTGCAGCAGGGACATTTAGAAATTTCACCAGTGACCTTTGCAACAAGACAAACACTAAGCAATTACAGCGCCTTCAGCCATTTTCAGACTAGCTGTGTTTAATTTGTGTGTGTGTGTGACAGCCAGAGCCAATGAGATCAAGACAAATAGTCTGTAAAATCATCAGCCTTTTAAAGCTGACCTTAGATCAGTGAAAGTGCCGAACCTCAGCCAATCGGATTTAAAGCTCACTCTAAAGCTGCCAGTCGTGTTTAACTGAGACTAGCTAATCATTATTTGCTGGGACAACCACAACCTACAATTAATTAATTGTAAAACACTCCACGTAACACGAACAATGAACACTTTAGCCTGCTACAGCCTGAGTTTGGACTCTGAGTGTCTCTGTGAGTTTAATAGTCCTGTTTGATATTGTATAATCTTTCAGTGTTTTGGATGAGTTTGAGAATCATTGAGGTACTATTAAAGTTTTTATTGATATTTTGAATTTAGAAGTTTTATTTTATTTTCATTTTAAAGTTTTAGTGATTTTGTTTTGTTTTGTTATTTTTAGTAGTTTTTCAGTTTCAGTTTTGTATTTTTTATTAATTTTTATTTCAGTTTTAGTTATTTTAGTACATCAAGTTGAAATAATTTAAAATGAGAAATATTGCTGAAATACCTGAACAATTTTTTATTATATATATATATATATATATTTTTATTTTTTTATTTTTTTATTTTTTTTTCAAACTCCATTTGATGTTTATTTAACATAAAAATTCAAAGCACTGACTAAAAATGACACACATTTCTGAATTGTATTGAGACAATTCTTTTTATGTGCAATTATTTTAATTTGCAAATCTATTTTAAAGGTGACCTAATATGCCTCTTTTTACAAGATGTAATATAAGTCTCAGGTGTCCCTAGAATGTGTCTGTGAAGGTTCAGCTCAAAATACTCCACAGATCATTTATTATATCATTTTGAAGTGGAAGCCCCCGCCCCCTTTTCCAGAATAGGGCTGTGCCTTTAAAGCTCGTACCTCAGATACTCTGCCAAAACATCTGTATCGTTTTGATAATCGTGTCTAACGCCCTGAAAACTTATTTTTATGCGTTTTAAAGACATATCAGTGTAAACTTCTGATATATGGTTTTCTGAGCACACATCCGAAGCTTAAACTGTCAAATATACACAAGGTTATGGCTAAAGCACACATAAGTTACATAAACACAGTCGGTTATATCTGTGAACAGAAAGAAATCGCATGTTTGTATTAGATCTGTGTATTAATTGACAGCAGCGTAATATACAATACCTTCTGCTGTCTGTGCTGTTGATATGACCTAAACAATAAAATAAAAACAGAAAATCCCTCACTGATCTGGACTGAATAACTTCTGTAGCTTTAATAAGAAGACATTTCTTACTTGAATGCTGCTTTTAAATGCTCTAGCGTGAAGATAACCGTGGCGGATTGTGTGCAGCTCATTTAGGGCGGGGTCTCTGCTAATATGGTAGTGTCCGTCATCAGTCGTGGGCGTGGCCTATACAATGTGACATCACTTTGTAAAGAATCTGCAAACAGCTTGTTCTGAGACACTACTTATGATTTATGGGGATGAAAAAAAAGGAGTGGGTGGATTTTTATCATTATAGGGGAGTTGTGTTCATACACTGTCAACACACATTTATGTCCAAACACCATGTGAAAGTGAATTTTGCATAATAGGTGCCCTTTAATAATAAGTATATGCAGAATCATTTTAAATTTTCTTTAATAATTTTATATGCAGAAATTTCCATACTGGTCTGTTATTGTAGTATCATCTATTATAAAAACAAACTGCTTTACATGTCAGTGAGTCTCTTGTTCAGTGGATAGATGCTGCCTAGAATAAGTTGAAATGAGGAACCAGTTTTCATTTATCTGGGCTTTTGGTGATGTATGACTTTTATTTTGGCGTGTCATATATTTTGAAAGTCTTTGTTTTTTTGTGCCCTCTCTAATTGAGTGTTTTTTGTTTGCTCATTAGTTCGAGCCCTCATGCTGCTTTGTTTTT